GGGCGATGGTTTAGTGGTTAGAGTTTGTAGGGCAGATAGTTGATGATCTTGAAGGTCTCTTCCAACCTTGATGATTTTGTGATTCTATGATTCTCACATATTGCTATCTGTACCACTATTATTAAGTAGTATTGTTTTGAGAATAAGATTTTTTTTCCTTAAAATTTGTGTCCAGATGCTAACTTCTAAATGTGAGTAAAGTTAATATTGCTGAAATAGGATGTCTTGCTTCTCTTTTGGTTGTATAGGAATCAGTCATGCAATGTACTCTCAGAAATTCTGTCTCTAGAAGTAACACTCTATATCGGTGCTTCTGTGGTTGTTACTGTGTGGAAAGCAATTCATTACTTCTCTGTCTCTTCTTGGGATGGATAAAACCAAAATGATACATTGCTGCTTACTTCTTCTGCTCACAGATTATTTATATACCTGAGGAGGATAGCTCTCTCTTGTATTTGTTGTCTCCACAGTTTTTCAGAGGCATAATGCTGCTTGAATCACCAAGCAAAAGTTCTTTTGCTCTGTTAACAACTAGATCACTTTCTGTTGAATGATAGGGATGTGTATGCTCCTGTAGAATGGTGGTTGGTATAACTGGGAGTCGAGGTATCAAAAGCAGTCTGGCTCTCTGAATCAGGATTGTGCCTTGGCTAAAAAGTGGGCACCTGCTGCACTGCTTTAACTTCTGAATCCCTTGTGGCTAGAGAAGACTTGGAGTCTTGGCAACAATATTAATTGGAGGAGAGCAAGGAATCACTTCTGCATGTAAATTAAGGAGGTTGAAATACAGAGAGTTTATTCTATGTGTTGTTTCCCAAATAGGATAAGAGTGGTTAACCTTTTATATCACTCTGGAGTACCTCTAAATAGTAGGCAAACTGATGGATGCTGGTAAAAGTGGTGGAGAAAAAGAACATCTCTGTTTCAAACTTGGAGGTACTCTATGTGCTTAGTTCATAAAATAACTGTAAGGTTCACTGAAAGTTAGCATTATCAGACTAAGTACCAGTTTCTTCTTATCATTTATATTATTAGTATCTCTGTCCTGTGAAGACAGGCTGAGAGAGTTGGGATTGTTCAACGTGGAGAAGAGAAGGCTTCAGGGAGACCTTATAGCAGCCTTCCGATACCTGAAGGGTGTCTTCAGGAAAGCTGGGGAGGGACTTCTCATAAGGGCTTGTAGCGATAAGACAAGGAATAATGGCTTTAAGCTGGAAGAGAGTGGATTTATGTTAGACATTAGGAAGAAATTGACTGTTAAACGTGGGAACAGGTCACTGAGAGGAGCTGTGGATGCCCCCTCATCCACAAGTGTTCAAGGAGAGATTGGATGGGGCTCTGAGCAACATGGTCTAATGGGAGGTATCCCTGTCCATGCAGGGAGGTTGGAACTAGATGATCTTTAAGGTCCCTTCCAACTCAAACCATTCTGTGATTCTGTTACTATGTTTAGCAGTCCACTGGTGGAGTTTTAAGCCAAATAGCTGTTGAAATGTTTGGGAGAAAGTAATATTTTAGCGATTTAGTGCTGCCATGTGTTAAGTTAATTAAACGCTGAGAACTGAAAATGGGTAAATCATCATGAAAGTCTAAATTCTTATAAGGTCAGCAGTTCCACACATTTTCTATAATACGTAATAATAAATGCAGTTTCTGAATGTCAACATTAATGTAGTTCAAGAATTGCAGCTTCAAACTGTTAGATACAGCCAATGTTATTTTCTTGTCCATAGTGTCAAAATTAACTGGTTTAAATGCATTACTAGCTTGCATCTAATATTTCATGTTTGTCATGGATTGGAATGTAGCATTCTTATGATGAATCATTATTTTCCTTTTTTATTAGTACAGGTGGAAAAAAAATGTAAATAATGACTGTGACTTGCAAGTAGGTTTTCTGCTGACCTAAAATAGGAAAGTTATTACATTTCTTATCACCTTGTGAAATCGGGTCATCTAGCTAGATATACTAATTTTCTTACTTCAACTGAGAAATGTTTTTAATGTTAGAGCTATTGGCCCCAAAGGGGAAAAAAACCCAGCAAGATCTCTCTGCAAAGACCTTCTTTGTTTTGAATGATGTCTGAGTGAATTCTTGAATTATTTAAATTTTTGAAGTATAAATCATTCTGTTCTTCAATGATATATTTTCCTCTCTTTAGATCATGCATGCAATGAAAGAACCTTCCATTTTATGGTATGCAAAACTGTGAGAGATTGCTAGGATATAATTTAAGATACGGCTTCTGCCCAAAAGAAATTATGTTCTTAATGAATGCTATCCTGTTTCTTAATGAATGCTACCCTGTAAAATTATGAGAATCCACTTCTTTTAGAAATGTTCCTGAGTTATTGCTTATATGGTGGATGTATTTCAGTTATGCTATGATTTTGACCTTTACAGGCATTCTGCAACGTTGTTTGGTAGTTTTGTCAACTTCTATTTCTAATTCTGCTGCTTCCATAAACAAATAGACTTGGATGAAGTAATGAACTTCTGTTTTGTGTGATTGCATATTTCAAAAAAAACTGTTGTTCTGGCTTGTGTTTAGGAGCTGTGTAGTCAATATGGTTGCTAGTATTTGACATCTTTCTTAGAAATTAGCCAAGAAAGGAATTTTTCCAAGTTTAGACTAAAAGCAGAGCTAGTATGATTGTTTCTTTATTTACAGTCTTCTCTCCCATGTGCAATCAGATGATTGGGAAACATCTGCTGCTCCTACTCAGGTTTTTTATCTCATCAATTTGCTAACAAAACTTTTTTCTTGGACAAATTCATCTTGTTTTTTCTTACTTGTTGTCACATTTTCATGTACAAGTCATTGCAAGTTATTTTCATATTGTTTCTCCATCTTTTTCTAAAGATCGATCTTCAGTGCCAACAACGGTGGAAAAAAACAACACATTTATTATCTGTTTTGAGATATCTGTGTATGTTTTACAGATGGTCAAATAGTTTTTACCATCTTAAGAACTTTAAGGTTATAAAGTCAAGCAGTCTGTAATGAGTAGAGATAACTTAAGTCTGGCTGGTGCTTGTAGCACTTAATCTACTCTTTGTACATGCATTATCTTTATTCTGTGTAAGAGAATAATTTTATTGCGTTAGTTACTGCTTTGACTGTACTCTCAGTGCTTATCTTGCAGCAAATAGCTTTCTGCAAATTTGATGCTGTTTGAGAAAAAGATACAGTGAGCATTTGCACAGTTGTATTTTTATGTGAGCAGCTTGCCACTTCAAAGGACTTTTGATACCTTTCTATTGATTGCAGTATCAGAGCATTCTCTCGCTGTCATTCATTCATTGCAAATAATCTCACCTGAAAGATAGTAGATGTATAAAAGGTTCAGTAGGGAAACTCCTGAGGATCTTCCTTGTCAACTGCATGATTTGGGGTGGGGAAGGGGGCACACAGGGAAGGAACAAAAGCTTGCCTTGTAATGCATGCCCAAAAATACATTGAACTGAGGCAGTACACTGACTTACATTTGCTAAATTTGGAGGTTTTGATTTGGTAATATTGGTCATATACACAGGTGTGTATTTCCATGCCTAGTACATGCAAAGAATGAGAAGTATTGTGATCCTATAAATGTAGATAAGAATTGGCCATTTGGTGAGGTCAGAATTTTACCAGCTTTATAGTGTGTTCATATCTCCCCATCTTTTCATGTAATAGCACCCTTCACGTGAGGAAGTATTTTGGAGGAAGAAAAGCGGGGACTTGTGTTTTGTCAAAATGGAATTTACTACTTGTGCCATAATTGCCTCATGAGTCTCCTGCCTCGGACATCTGTTCAAATAAAGTGAAATCTATGGAAGGTCTCCTTCATTGCCTTATGCCAACTATGGGCATAGGTTAACTGTAACAGTGATACTGACTGGTGTGCTTTTTGCTGGGTGTACCTCTTCTGTCTCACCCATCAGAGGATGGTGGGTGAGACCCTGCATGCTGCTGAGTAGCTTGCACTCTTCTCTGAAGAGAAACTCAGTAGTAAGTGGGGTTGTAGTTGTGCTATGTTGGGAAATGGATTAGAGGAAAACCATGCAAACTTGCAATGGCAAGTGTTGAAGACATGGGCAAAAAAAGTTTCACTAGTTCATGTGGTTGTTTGATTGAGATAGGCGAGTTCTTTGGAGCCATAGCTTGCAAGAGATGCAGCTGAGGCAACTTATGCTGAGGATGGCAGAGAGGATAGTGGTACAGAGAGTGAACAGTAGAAGCAAGATATGAGGGTCTTTAAAGCTACTGAGACCAATGTCTTGGCAGAGGAGGTGATGAATAGTAAGAAAACTGTCTTGGAAACTGTTTTGTTCTTTAGTACAAGTTTTGTTCAGAAATGTCTCCATGTGCTTACTTTGGAACCTCTTTTTATATTTTTGGCTTTGTGTCCATGCTTTGTATGTGTGTTATACCCCATTCCCATTATTTTCAAATTAAAAGAACTGTATCCTCAACTTCCGTAAGTTTATTTACTCTTTAAATGTGGAAGTTTGCAACCCAGTAGGTGATTTGTAATCTACTGGTGATATGTGGCTTGCAAATAATTGGGAGGGGCATGGAGGGTGAAGAGATAAGGGATAACAGCTTTTTTACTTTTATTATGCCTAGAAATTGCTGTAAAATCTTGGGGATGAAATCTTATCTATTATAACTTTCTTTTAATTTCTGTAAGACCTTTTCTTAGAGTTACGATCTTTAGAGATGCAAAGGAAATGTACAGTGACAAGTATGGGTATGAAAATGTATGTGTTTAAGCACACAACCATTTAGATGGCAATTTTTCCTAAACTCCTGTCAGCAATCTTAAATTTATGTGCAGTTAAGGAAAAAGATTAAAGTAAGACAAACTTCTTAGAAAAAGACTAATGAAAAATGGTGAGAAATTATAAAACGTCAAGTGCAAGTGTCATGTATGCAAGCAGAGAATGTGGTATAAGGACCTGTAGCTGATCTGAAGATTTCTAAAACTTGCAAAATATATTAATGTTATTTCAGCTGGGAAGTTTTGAGATTCCTTTTGTCTAATTTGAGAATGTGGATTGAAGACTATGGTTTTGATGGCTTCCGATTTGATGGTGTTACATCTATGCTGTATCACCATCATGGGATTGGTAAGTAATTTAATCAACTCTAATCTGACCAGCTCTGTTGTTGTGGAAATAGTGTTATAAAAATTCACTGAATACTCAAAAAATTCCAGATATGCTGATATTTTGTTGTGTTGCTACATAGGTCTGAAATTATGAATAAATTTTGTGCTTATAAAATAGCAAATTGAGAAATCTCTGAGGTTTTGTTTTATTAAAATAGCAACCATGATCTTTTTACTTACCTGTCTTTTTAGGCACAGGATTCAGTGGAGGTTACCATGAATATTTTGGCCTACATGTGGATGAGGATGCTTTGTGTTACTTAATGCTGGCCAACCACATGATTAATTCCTTGCATCCTGAATGCATAACCATAGCAGAAGTAAGATCAGAATTTTTCATCCTTAATGACATTAATATTAATTAGTTTGCTTTGGGTTGTGAATTTCCTGTTAATTATCAAGTCACAGTTCTGATACTTGAGGAGTGACAGGAGCTGAAAATATTAATTAGTGGACTGACTGCCTTGTGGGGAAAAACAACTGGAAGGTACACTTTGGGAATTTTTGCTGCATTAATATGTTGTTAATTAATGTGGGCTTTTTTTTCCTTCTTGAACTTGTAATGAGATTTGGTTTTATTAACTTATTGGTTTTACATGATTGTCATTTGTCAGTAGTGATTCATAGTGCTGCAGATTAACAGTTCTAGAGTGGCTTTGCATATTTTGAATTATATTGGCATAATTGACAATTTCCTTTCAAAATAAATACAATAAATTTATAAATGTTGAATGTGTATGCCAATTTAAATTTAGTATTGAGTTTCTCTGAGTTTCTGAGGGAGTAAATAGACAATATTACTTGAATTTATTGAGATCAATGAACTTTTTGAATGAAAGATGTTGTTGTCACATGGAGTTTTTGATACTATGAAGTACCAGAGCATTCAAGTTCTGGGAGCAGGTACATTTTCACTGATATTTTCTCTTTAGCTAAAAAGATATATCCTGTAAACCTTGAGGGCTTTTCAGTTGTTATATTTAAACAATTTTTTTTTTTTTTCATTTAAAACAAATTGCTTCATCTATCTCATATAATTAGGAACTGTACTATTAAAACTTTTTGTATTGCTTAAGAGTTCCCTAATTATCTCAAGAAAACAAAATACTGCTTACCCTAATATCTTACTTATGATCAAGTTTTATGTTCTAGACAACTACTGCTAAAATCTTAATTACAAACTATCGAAAACAGCATCTGCTGGGCAATTACTAGTAAACTTGATATACCTTCATTGAGCCGTAGACTTACTTGAAATGAAATTTGTTCATGTTCTAGGTAGTCTTAGGTAATTAGCATTCCTACCAATGAAATTGAGTTCAGTCTGCTTGTATTACCTGTCCTGAGAGTTCTTTTTTTTTATTAATTTGTGTCTTCAGTTTCTCTTGCTTGAGTTGAAAACTGCTTCTGTTGCAATACTTCATTTTTCTACCGAGGGGAGTTGCCACACGAAGTACAGAATTGATCAATGTGCTGCATGGTTAAAGAATTCCAGAAGGAGAAACTATTGGCATAATTGAAAATTACAAAAGGCAGTGAAGAATGTCTGCTTGCGTATAATGATAGGAATGAGTGCCACATGAGAAAATTGTTTTTGTCTAACCATAACTAATTATAATGTATTCCTTAATTATATAACTGATAAATTTCACAGCTTTTTAATATTCTTTATATTCATTGTCTTAGTAATTTCTAAGTTTTTAGGTATAACTGACTGTAGGCTTACTTCTCATTTTGTTTATCTAAATAAGGCTGTGATTGAAGTTTTGTATAATGAGAAGAAAAAATACTAGGTCAAATTGCATCATTCCTGAAGTATTATAAAAACAAATAGGCAAAAAAACCCTATTCGTGAGGGTTTTGGGTTTTTTTGGTTGTTTTTTTTTTCTTTTTTTGACAGATAGGTCTGGAAAAAAGTAGGCATTGGCATTGTTAATTTGGTGCATAATATACTGAACAACTTGACACTTTATTTTATATTTTTTAGTGTTCTGGTAAAATCTGTAGATAATCTGTAGATATATATAGATACAAGTAGTATTACATTTAGAATTATACTTATAAAAAATGTGGCTTTCAAATTTGTGACCAAAGTAGATAGGAGCTACTTAAATCTCAGACTCAGACCTTGTGTAGGTAGGCATCATAGCATCACAGAGAAAGGCTTTTGTTTGTTTTTATCCTTTTGGGAGCTATTAAACTTCCTTTTATAACATCCAAAAGATTGGAAAGAATTTCTGCTTTGTTGTTTTGTATTTACTGCATGTGGAATGTGGATGCATTTTTCAGTGTGGTCTAATGACTGCTGAGTAAAGCGGAAAAATCCCCATCATTGATCTTGGGGCTTTGCTGGGCCAGGCTGCTGGCTGGTGTTCAGCTCACTGCTGGCTCAGAGCCCCAGGGCCTTTCCATCAGAGCTTCTCCCCAGCCTGGCATTTCCCAGCCTGTGCGGATGTGCGGGTCACACCATCACAGGGGCAGGACTTGACAACTGCCCTTGCTGAATTTCTTGAGCTTTGCTGTTGTTCGATTTTTCCTGCTGCTCAGGGGCCCTGTGGATGGCAGCCCTGCCTTCCATCCCCCAAGATGCCATCCATGAGCCTTGATAGTGTGAACTGTCTCTTCATTTATGTCAGTATGGGAGGAAATGTGGAGGTGTGTAACTTCAAGTGAGAATGTTTTTTTTCACTATTCAAATGCAGCAATTGGGTTGAAAGCTGGATTGAATCCAGAAGATCAGAATGAGCTTCTTTATTAAGCCCTGGTTCTAGTCAGAACTTAATTCCATAAATTATCCTGTGTAGACACAAGAGGTGTGTGTTAATCCATAGCCATTGTGGCAAAATGGCTTATCACTGACATAAGCTAATAAAATTCTAGCACTGATAGATATTTTGCAGTTATTGCAGATTTACATTTTTCTGTACAGATTAGATAGCTTTAAAAATAATAATTATGTGACATAACTACCTAATAAAATGGAGAAATAAATATTTATTTTAAAAACTTTTAATTAAAAAATTATGAATTATCAGCCCCCTTCAATATGAAACCGGAAAATTTCACAGTGAGAACATGTAATTTTCCAGGGATAGTGGATTCAATAGTTTTGGGTTTGTGCATTTAGGAAAAGAGTAGAGATTATATTTTTCTTCCTTTCTGTACTTTATATTCAGCTTTTTGTTTTTATGCTCTTCTTTATGCAAAATACCAATTAAAAAATGAAGGTTTAATTTGTCTTTCATTGACTACTTTCTGTTGATTACTTGGAGCTCAACAGAGCTAATTATTTCAAATTCTGCATCTATTGAGGTCTCTTCTACCTCAAATACCTACTTTGGTATTCTGTAGTTGAGTATTTAATGAAAAAAGTCATAATGCTCTCCTTGTAACTCTTGCATTCAAACAACAAATCTCACTGTATCCTTTATTTTTTTTTTCTCCCAGGTCAATCAGTGAAGCTGTTTTATAGTTTACAGAGCATTTCTATGAAAGTAATACTGTATAGTAGAAAGTCTGAACTAATAGTTGCAATGCTTTGTAAATTATATTGTGGGTTGTTGTTTTTGTTTTAAATTTAAGGATGTTTCTGGAATGCCAGCTCTTTGTCGTCCTGTTGAAGAGGGAGGAGGAGGTTTTGATTATCGACTAGCAATGGCTATTCCAGATAAGTGGATACAGGTGAGAACTTTTTTAAAAAATATGTTCTCCTCTTCAAAGTGGGATGTTTATCTGTACAAACACAAAAATGCTTCTAAATCCTACTGACAGATTTTAATTTCTCTTCAGTTAATGTCCTTTCAAAATAAATTCTGACAGGCTTGAGCACAAGTATTTGTAGCTGAAATGAGAGCTGTCCAGTATGTAGGTTTCAGAAGATGAGTAAGTTTAGGGGCTGTTCTTTGCTTTCTATCTGATACTTGTTTTCATACTATACATAAGTCTCATTTGATTTTAAAGAACCTGTATCTTGCAACAGTTGTAGGACATATAATCTATATTGAATAGTAAGCAGGCAGATAATAAGTTAACCATAATCATATAAATGTAAAAAAAAAAACCCAAAACATAGAACAAATTATCCTGAAATTTGACATAGTAATAAACATTGAACATAATGTTGAAAGTTTAACCCAAGTAAATGGAAGTGCTTTATGTTAACACCAGCAATCTGCAGTGGTGGTACAAAATGAATAATAGAAGTCTTTATATGCTCTTGAAGAACTGTAATGTCCTAATAAACACTGGTTATGATAAGGATTTAAATCACCTTTTCCTTAATATGAAGAATAACAAGAAAAGGAATAAAATGCTGAATGATCTTGAAAGGCTTCTACTGATGTTTTAGAGAATGTTTTCAGTTAGAAGATGACATTCAAATCCCTTAGGCTGTCAGAATGATCTGAAAACAATATATGTTTTATATGAGCATTAATGCTTCAATAAATATCTTGAGTAGCTTAAAATAAAAAGCAAATTAACTCACCTTTAGCATCTTTCACGTTTGTAACTACAAGTTGAAGGACTGGTTGAAAAACAGTTTTCAAACTTCTTCATATAGAAGACAAACCTGTCAGCTTTTCCGCCAGAGACAGCATCATTAAACTTTAGAGTGTGTAATTTAGATCCTGGAATGTAGTGAGGGCTTATATTTTGTAATAACAAGAAGCACCTTATTGTGATGGCTTTTGCTGTTGTTGTGCATCTAACTTCCTTACCACACTTTAGGACAGGCAAAGATGAGGAATTTCCTCAATAGGCAAAATGTGCCTGGCAAAGTTCATATTACAAAGAAAAAAAGGCTGTAAAATTTTACAAGGTCAGAAGATGGATAATCTAATTTAGCAATCTCTGATAAGGTCTCCATATTTTAATTTGCAATACTCTTGAGTGGAAACTTACCTATTCTGTGGTAGTTTTATTCTTTAACTGGACAAAAAAAAATAAATCATCTTGCAGCCTAAGAGTATACTTAACATTGAGCAGCAGGTGGATGCTTGGCATGCTGATGGGTTGTTGGGCATAAATTAAGCCGTGACAGTCTGGGATGCTTAAAAGGAGATTCCAGTTATTTAGGAATGTGTTGATAGTATTACAGCATAGGGTGATGCAGGCAGGAAGCTTCTATCTTAGAAAACGACAAATAAAAACTGGAACAGAAGACTTTAGATTAGAGAAAGAGGTGATGCACATACTTTGTTAGCACATTTCATGAGGCAAAAATAAATCTGAAATTATTGGAAGAGAAAAACTTTGAAACAAAATCTATCAGCTGTTATCAAACTGTCCTTGACTGCTTGCTTTCATTTCTCCAGCTTTTAAGTTACCTATTGATAACAAGGTTTCTAGGCGATTTCCTAAAATTGGTTCTAGATTTAGAAGCAGGAGGAAATAGTGTCATATGAGGCAGAAAATTCATGTTGATCTGGTTTAATTTAAATTGCTAAAAATCAGGAGCTAGAATGGCAAAAAATGTTGAGCTTGGTTTATATTACAAAGCTTTGGCATTGAAACTGTGGTTTGGAACTGACCAGGAATTCACAGGTCAGGGGAATGTGCAAGTCCCTGCTCTAAGCACCTTTCCGTGTTATTGTGTACTTCATGGCAATTGCGTAGCGCACAGTGCCCACTGTATCAGAGGTTTCATGATAAATGGCAAGTCCTGTTATCTATACTTGAAAAGTACAAGAGAGACAAAATAGTCTACTTATTTTATTTATGCAGTGGAAGTAAAAAATAAAAATAACTTTCTATTATCAGAGAAAACTCATTGCTTCAAAACTTGGGAATAGGAGAAGTTAAAGCAATACTGTTCATAACCCACTGAAAGATTCTGTGAATGAAGAAAGGTGGCAATCTGCTTTTAGTTCAAACAGCAATAACTTCCTGATGATCTTTCCTGTATTTCTACAGATAATTAAGGAGCTGAAAGATGAAGACTGGAATATGGGCAATATTGTCCATACATTAACAAATAGACGGTATGAAGAAAAATACATTGCATATGCAGAGAGTCATGACCAGGTATGTTATCAGTTTGTTTGTTTATACATAGGCAAGTAAAATAAGAGGTTTAGAGACTTGGCGGGTTTTGTTTCTTAAAAGTGAGAGATAGATCTGTGGACTACTGCTTGGTTTTTTTTTACTTGGGTTTTCTTGTGGGAGTTTTTTTATTTCATCCTTTCTTTTTTAAGAACGGAATGGTGCTTGGAGTAGGTGGGTGGTGTTATTTCCAAATTTTTTATTTGTATTTAATAAATTAATCCTAGCTTCTTGTTTTGCCTGCCTGTCACAGGACATGTGCTCTTGTAGCTGAGAAGGCCAGTGGCATCCTGGGGTATATTAGAAAGGGTGTGGTTAGTACGTCAAGGGAGGTTCTCCTCCCCCTCTCTTCTGCCTTGGTGAGGCCGCATCTGGAATATTGTGTCCAGTTCTGGGCCTCTCAGTGCAAGAAGGACAGGGAACTGCTTGAAAGAGTCCAGCACAAATGTGTATGTGTGACATAAGAAGGCATATAATCCATACTTTGGAAAATTTGGTTTCCATGAAGTAAGTTGGAGCACTATTTATGATAAGCATAAACAATATCACAATTTAGCTTGTGTTCACTGAATCGGTGTTTGTGACTGTTGTATTCCTTTCAAGAAGTTGTTTGCAAAACTTGCAGAGATGAAACATCATCTTTTGGAGATCTAAATGAAATATTCTTTAGCAGCTTCATTCAAAACACAGCAGTTGTAATGATTCTGTATTTGAAAAAATGAAAAATTACTAATGAATTTGTATAACATCTGTCTCCCACAATCTTTGTAATGGTTGTTTGCGAAGAATCAGAAAACGTGTTGGTTTGAGAATTTTAAAATTAAGAACTTATCAATTTTCTAAGAAAAGATTTAAGTATCCTGCCTTCTACTATTGCCTCTACATAATAGAGGATGATCTTTTATTTCTTATCCTTCTATAATAAAATTAAACAGAAGTATCCAAAACAAGACCTGTGTTTTATTTTAAGAAGAGAATGTTGAGGTTATCAACTTCATTTTGTGTACCAATTTGCATTCTTATCTCAGAGACTGTTACACAGTATTTATTTAAGGCATGAAAGAAGAGTCCCAGTCATGGTAAAGAAGTTCAGGTATTACTTGGAACTGCATATTATTCTATGGTTATTTGCTTTTATAAAAGCTGTTTCTTCATGCTAAAGCATGACAAGTAACATTACTGTTCTTTTATTTCATGCTGGATTTTATCAATTGAGTTATTTTCCATATCGCTGTGTATTTTTGTTTTAGAATCTTATGCTTGGGAAGAAGATCTACTTATTTTGAATTTAAAAAAAATAAATATTGCAGATATACACCAGACTGATATGTGAAAAGTAGGATAGAGAAAAAAACAAAAGGGAGTGTAGATAAAATTCAGTCTGGAGATACTTGAAGTGATGTACAAGAGAGTGTGAAACCATTCTAGTTTCTTATATGCCATAATGGGCTATAAACTATCAGAATACAGAGCCTTATGGTTATATTAAATGTGTGAAAATAGCAACTCAATGCTTATAGCTGTCAAAAAAGCAGATACAGTACTGGAATTATGAATGGAATGGAGAGTGAAGAGCAAAACCAATATGCCAATGTTGTCTTTCATGGTTTCTGTGCATCTTAAACTTCGGAGCCAGATTTGGTCCTGTATCTCAAAGAATATATAGCATAACTGGGGAAAAAATGTTCTGAGAGCATTGGGAAGAATAATAGCAGGTGTGGATTGTTTTTTATAAGAAGGAAACTACACAGACTAAAACTCTTGAGGGTATAAAAGAGATCACTGAAGGTTTAAAAAATCATGTCTAGCATAGAAAACATAAATGGGAACCACCTTCCCTTCTAATGAAATATTAGGGGACATTAAATGACACATAGAAATGCCACATTCAGAATCCAGAGAAGAGTTGTTCCTTGCAGTTATTCATCGCTTTCTTCAGTGTTGCCATTGCTGCATAGGAAGTTAATTGTATTTAAAGGTTATTTTGTATACTTGAGAGAATCATCTATATATGCTGTTATATTGTTAGTTAGAAACTAAACAATTATGGTACTTTTCATCTAGACCTGAATGATCTTCAGCTCATCTGTCACTCTGGGATGTAGTGAGTTTTCATGGTATAAAATGAGAATTGGGCTAATTCAACAAAAATTAGCAATATATATATAGAAATGTTCCAAAATGTTTTCAGCATTGTGTACTAATATATCAGAATAGTTCTTGTTACATAGCATTTGTGTGGCCTTTCTCAAGTAACAATAAACATTAGCAGGTTAGTAATTCAGTCACTGTTTTTAGACAGAATTACAAGTTTTTCTCTCATGTGAAATCACAGGAAACCAATCACGTTCTTGTTCATATATAAATGGAAAGTTTTATATTGATTTTCCATCTCTAAATCAAGAGTATTAATAGCCCTTTATTTGTACATTCCAGGAACTTTATATGTTTGCCTTCTTATTTTCTGTATTTTCTGTAAAAGTTCCGAAATAGGTCGTTTGTGGTTTATTGATTTGATACTAACATTTTGCATTTGATATCTATAGGCAAAAATGTTCTCAGAAGTAATAGTACAGTTCAGTCCCATCAGCTGCAAAGTAGGACCACAACAGGGGTTAGGCAGCTGTTAGTTTATTGATCATATGATCAATAATACTCCACAATAGTACTCATGGCAATTGGTTCGAGGATCCTCAGTATCCATGTGGAGGGTTGCAAGGGGAAAGGGGAGAGCTTGGTCAGGCACCTAGTCAAGCCTCAGTTCAGAGAGACTCAGTTCAGAGAAATCCCTGTCTCAATTTACATATTTTCTCTTTGTGGCAGCAGATTTTTTACATATTGTACCCATATGATTACACATCACACAGTACAAAGTTGCAGCAATTAGAAGTGAGAATCACTGGGGCCTGAGGATCATTGGCAGTGGCAGGATGTTTTCTTTGTAAACCGGGACTAATTTGTACACAGGGAGCCATGTCCTTGACTCCTCACCAATCTTCCAAGTCCTCTTACGATATAAAGTGCCTGCTTAAAAAAAATAGGTTAGAAACACTTCTAATAAACCCAAGGGTTTTTTTCACTTTCTTTTTTTTAAACTATTGTAGGCGCTTGTTGGTGATAAGACATTGGCATTTCGACTGATGGATGCAGAGATGTATACAAACATGAGTGTGCTCTCGCCTCTTACTCCAGTTATTGATCGTGGAATACAGCTTCATAAAATGATTCGTCTCATTACTCATGCACTTGGAGGAGAGAGTTATCTAAATTTCATGGGTAAGTGGTCTTAGGAAAAAGTATTTCGTTTTCTCATCTGTAGAACGCGTGGCAGGGAAATTAAATTATCTGACATAGTCTTACATGCACAGTATTTATCATGATGCTGAAGTTAGGGGAATAAATGTTTTCATAAAGATTTAGTTCAAAAGGTAATATTAATTCTTTTTCTATCTGTAAGGTATAAGACAGGTAAATAAAATCAATGTGGTTCCTAATTGTAATAGAAGTGACTTTTAAAAATGTGGTAAGCTTTTGTTCAAGTTATTCTGATATAAAACTCAGACTAGTATATTATTATTATGTAAGTTTGTTAGGTGGTGAGCCTTGCCTTACAGGACTTGGTTGTCTTTTGGCTCTGTTCTTCTGCTCTCCTAAACTTTTTAGGTAACAGTGAATTTACTAAAAATAGCTCTGTACTTATTTCAATGATCAATTGTTTGGAAATCTGGAATTGGTTGATTTATATTTCATTGCCTCTTAGTGAAGAGGGCTTAATAAGTTAAGCATGGACACAGCATAGAGATGGGGTGCACCCTGCTACAGCTGTTGCATTGATTCCTAAGCACTGTGGCTACAAGAACATCCAGTAGTTAATTTCATTTCATTAGCAAGTTACACTTCTGTGTAGTTGTCTATAAAGTTGTGTGTTGTTCTTAGATTTATACAAAAAGCTGAAGCTATTTATGCTTGATGTCAAGGGTGAGGAAGAGGAGCCTCCTGTGGGGTGGGGAGAGGAGTGGAAATCTCCTTTCACAACACCTGGAGAACGCATTCCAGGTGCCTCTCTGCTTCCCTAGATCCTTCTATAAGTCTCTTATATGTTTTTTCTGAAAACAAAGACACCAAAGCAACATACGGCTTTCTCAATGCTTTGATCGCCTTAAGGAAAAACAAACTACTTCTAGAGTGTTGTATCAGGAGTGAAAATTTGTATTCTATAATTTATCCTGAAAATTCTCTTTGAAGATCTGGAACATTTAATTACGCATGTGTTGGAGTATCGTTTGTACGCCATACATGCAAACTGATTCCTCTTGCAAGAAGTTATGCTCTATTCAACGCCCAGCTTTGCCCATGTAGCATTCTCATATTTCTCGCTTTTCGCACTGAAGATTCTCTGTCCTACTTACTGGTATCTATAAGAAACTACTGAAAAAATCCTGGAAGTTGTTGCGCTTATTTTTCATGTTTCTAGATGCTTAATTTTGCCTGAAGACTTATTTTCTTTCTGAACTGCTCTATCCCAGTACAATCAATGATGCATGCAAACTTAAATGTGACTAGGAAAGTTGTCATTTCAGTAAATTGGCTCCCTTGTAGTGCAAACTGTTGGTCCATTGTTTCTTCTGGTCTGTACTTCAGTTTTCTCTGCAGCTTTGCAAGTAATCTCTGGGGCTTCGTGTGCCCATCTGGTATGAAAGACTTAACCTAGAAAGATAGAAACTCCATATGCTTGGCTGAAAATGAGCATGACAATGATAAATGTCCTGCTTTAGTGAAAGAACACTCTGGAAGACCAGTTTGTTTAACAATAATAGTTAAAAAAAAGCTATTGTTTTGAAACTTAGGCTGCATCTAAATGCTGTCTTCTCAAAGCAAATAGGCAGCAACAATCCTAACACAGCTGTAGTTTGTTCAACTCAACTTCCGGCTTAGACAGATATTTTAATACTGAGACTGTCCAATACTGATCAGAAGATGCCGTATAACTTCAGAAAATCACCAAAAGTTAGGGTGCACAAGTGATGCTTCTTTAAGGGTTTCCTTCTCCCCAGCTAAGCTTCCAGGAACATGTTGACGTAGATAATAAATATTTGATTGTTGAAACTTAAATAATAATTAAAGAGAAATTTCCAAGCATTCACAGTGTTTGTCTATATTAAGTAATTGAAGTAATTATATTATCTGAAAATATACCAAAAAACCCACTCTATTAATACTCAAGTATTTTTATACTGATATGGAAATAAAAAGTGCATTTGTTACTAACTTAATTAAAACCAGAAAATTTGTGGAAAAATATTTTGAGACATAGGTCTTTGCCCTCTCTAATATGAGGATTTGAAAACTAATTAAAAATAAAAGCCCTGTATCTGACTGAAATTCTTTATTGTCTATTTAAACCCCTAAAAAATTAGAAAAAATATTAAGATTTAGTCTACTTCCTCGATTACTAAACAAGCAGTAGCAGAAGTTGTTGTAAGAATTATAAAATACTAGAATCTTCTGATCTCACCTTGAAAATAATGCAACCACTGTGGTTACCCACTAGACAATGTTGGACTTAGAAGTACACCACTGTTCTGTCTTCATTTTCCTTTGGCTTCATTTTCCATCCTGTCCCTGCAGAAAAGCTGTAGACAACTGTAATTGTTCCTTTCCTTTAAATATTCTTTTTCTCTTCTCTTGCTCATCACCTGTGTCCTGCACTTGGGGAAACCCTAGAGGGCATATGAAAGATCTGTGCCAGTTCTTCAGTAAACTTGGCTATGTGTTCTGTCCTGACCTTGAGAGATAGATCTGTTTGTCTATCTGTATTTAGCCAAGTAGAGACAGCTGCTGTTTTTTTGCCTAGAATAGGTGTAAGATCCAGCCCAAGGTGCCCTAAATAGCACAAATATGAAGGACAAAGGTCCTTTATAGCACAAATATTTACTGTTTTATGACATCGTAGGATCTTGCTTTTCAGCTTCCTAGCAATCATTTTTGTGCTTCCTTCTTGATTTAAAATTGGCTTAAACTCAAATCTATTGATGTAAAGGCAGATTAGTTCCTACATGAACCTCTTGCACTATTTTTCATGAGTTTTCTTTACTGAAACAGCTCTTAATTAGGACTCCAGAGACAAAGATTCTCCCTGCAAAACAGCTTTTTAAAAAATAGATATATAGAGAAGCGAGAAAATAATTTGCAGTAACTAGGATGTTTTTTTACAATCATGAGCATAGACTGGTGGTGTTACTGCTTGGGTTGACATTTACCTTTTTTCCACTAATACAAAATTTATCTGTAAAGCTTCTGTTTCCCACTTGTTAGCTCACTTACACCACAGTTTATCTGCTTTCTCTGTTTTTTGGATGCACTAAATCAGTTTATTTTCTAATGGTTTGGTATGATGAGACCTTGTTCTCTGTTTGGCCTTAAAAATAAAATAAGATGATATGCACAATTTATTCCCTTGGGTCTTCTGGAGGGAGAAATTAAGTTTGTTTTTTTTTTTCTTCTTATTTATTTATTTTTCAACTAAGAGATTTTGTAACAGGAGGCTTTTGAAAATTTTGAAAATTCTTGACAAACTAGAAAAGGAATGCTGCAAAAACTGAATTGGTAGCACCAATATCAGCGTGGGAAATGTGCATACTGTTTACTTAATGGAGATTATAAATTTGACAAAAATGCTTGCAACAAAAATGGGAATGTTACTCAAAACAGAATCTGAAATACTACTTTTATTGCTATGTATCTAGATAAAAAAGAAATTGTGTCAAGAACAAGGATATTCAGCTTAAGCTTAAATGTGTTTTGTTTTCTTAAACATGTTGCATACAAATAACTGAATTTTTACACTTTTTTTTTTTCAGTGCACTTTCTTATGATTATTACTCCTGGGCACTGTAGACCATGGCATAAAAAAAATTGCCTTTGCAAGAGCAAGTGCTCTTTAAACTAGCTCACTTCAGTCTACTCTTTCTGATGAACAGCCTTGAAGTGCTCAGTTAGTAAAGGCTGAAGATCAGGATACATAGTTTGAAGTAATCCTTCTTAATATACTTACCTGTTATACCTGGCAAACGTGCTTTCTGTGCTGCTAGTTCTGCCAGCTGCTTTAATTTCATGCAGTTTGACAAAAACAATTATCTTTATTTTAAGTCTGAAACAAGAAGGGTGTAATCTGAAATCTTGCCTACAGTTTGTTGTAGACGTCTTGTCCTGTAATGACAGACCACCTACCACTTCATTGCATAGTACTCCATATGCCCTCAGTCACAACTTGGGGTGACAGTGACAGGGGGAAGAATCCAAATGTATAGATTAGGCTTCATGAACTGCTTTGAGAGTCTCTTATGGAAAGTCTAGAGGTGCAAACTGTTAATATTTGTTGTTCCTGTAGAGTTGATTGAAACAAGCTTAATTTCTACACTCAAAACGCATTAGAGTGACTGAGGAAAAAGAAATTAATGAGAAATACTATCTCATAATGTAAAAGAATCCATAAACACGTAATCCTGTCTGATTTTTCCTCCATCCCACCTTCCCTTCACAAATTATGTCCAAATAATAGAAAACTGTTATGGGAGTTGATAATACTTCTTTCCTGAGAGGACAGGGAAGAAAGTGCTATACAGATGTGTATATAATTTAAATATATAAGTTAAATGGTTACTAGGAGCAGTCTATATATGTGATGTTGCATGAGTGTGCACACTATAGCTTCTCATGTCAGGAACCTTGAAACAGAAACCTTTCACAGTCAATTGCATCCTCAAGACTGCTCAAGAATATACAGTTGCTCCAACTGTGTTCATGGATTGAAATCCAGGTATAGTTTTCCATGATGAGAGAATTGTCTAAACAGGAATAGTTGTACACAGTGCTCCTTTTTTCTCTGAGTAATGCTGATGTTTCCCTGGTTTGTTCCTTAATCTTAAATCTACAAGGTATCAGTTGTTCCAATATTAACAGTGGATTAGTATATTAAGCCATATTGACATTTCATTTCAGTTAAAACATGTTTGGGTGTTGTTTATTTATTTTTTTTTTTAAAGGCTGTATAGTTTTCCAGTTCTTTTTCTCTGTTACTGGTATAAAGAGATTGGCTTTTTAAGCCTTAGTTATTTTGGAACTACAGTTTTATTTATTTTTATTGTGCTTAGTAGCATCATTTAACCATGGTGACACAGTTATTTAGACTTCAGCTAACATCTCAATTTTTTTATTCTTAATACTCCATCTGTTACCTTCTATCTTGTTTGTATGATTTGTACACTTACAGTTCA